ATCAATTCCAAATCACTACTGGGCGTGGCGCGCAGGGTTCTTGTCAGCAGGGCTCACTCTCCTTACCAAACCGTTCCCACTTTTGCCCAAATGAAGGCTCTACCTCACACCTACTGGTCTTCTCACTGTTCTCCCACCCTCCTGCACCTCTGCCTGGCACCCCTGCCTTCCTCCGCTGTTTTGAATGCTGCCCTTTTTTCCTTATGAGCCAGGCTCAGGTCCTCCTCCGCTGGGCAAGTGGTGACCTCTCATTGTCACTGTCTGTGCAGTCAGCCCCCTGTGTCGGGTGGCAAGCTCCTTGCTGCATGAGTGTCTTGTCCTCTTCTCCCTGGGAAATTCTAAGCTCCCCATGGTGTTTTCACAATGCTGGGGCCACAGGTTTGCACATTTGCACACATTTACTCTTCACAAGAGACTCACAGATAGAGATGTACACACCTATGTCTACTGCGTCAGATAGACCAGTGGTCGGGATAGATCCAAGCCAGCTGGGAAACATTTGTGTATGGCACTTACACATATAAACCCCGATAATTTCGATGCTCTGGGAGTTCACAATAAAAGAAAATTGGAATGCACCCTGGGAAGTCCTGATGTGAGGGGAGTCAGAAAGCCACATTTCATACGACAAGGTCTCCCCCAGTCTGGGTTACATGAAATGGGCTAGAACGAAGAATGGCCCAGGCCTTCCTAACTGAGGATGCTCCCCTGCTGCGTATCCTGCGCCCTAGGTTTCCATCCTGGTAGCAGCCTCTCCCCTACACCTCCTCTCTGCTGAGGCAGGTAGAGTGATGGTCGTGGGGGTGGCTAAATGTCAGTGGTACCGTGTTGGTATTTTCAGATTCCATTTGCATCTCAAAAAACCATTTACTTTAAAGAAATCAAATAGACAACCATGTGGTGACAACATTAACATTTATTTGAAAAGGGCATCACAGAGGCTCATTGGGAAATCGCGACTAATAGTCCTAAAGAATGACGGTGCTAAGAGTCCTTCTACCTACACTTCTTCCCACTCCCCTCTTTCCCTTTCCCTAAAATAAAACAAATATGATTCAATGAGTTTGAAATACGGAAAACCGCCACAGGCACTAATTCTGCACTCACATATAAATACATCAGCTATTATATACATATATTGTCAACTACAAACTACATTACACACACATGCACACACGTGGACACGCACACACGCAGCCAGGCTGTGAAGGCCTAAATGGACACAGGCACGTTACGATGTCTGGGCTGCAGCATTTGTGGATATACAACCCTGCACTCCACACGCCAGAATCAACGGTCATGGAGGAAGAGCTCAAAGGGGCAGGAGATGGACTGTGAGGCCCCATGGCCCCCCGAAGGAGAGGAGACCTGGTCAGCCAGGTGGTACTAAAGGACAGCACGAGAAAACTGCCCCAACATGGCCACAAAGCCCTTCCCGCTGCCCGTCTCCTCCCACTTCCCCAGCTAGCCAGGCTCTAAGACAAGCCCATGACAACGATCCCTCTTCAGACCTAGCCAGAAGATTTCTAGAGTTAATGGGACAAAGAAGCAACAGGCTGCCCTAAACCTTCTCCCCAGATGTAAGGAGGATGCCTTGTTTTAGCACAGCCTGCCTGCCAGGGTCTGGGGTCACGGGAAGCGGGCATGGCCCGCCCTGATGAGATGACCTCCCTGTCTACCTTTAAACCTAATACTCAGCCTAACAGCTCAAGTCCAGCCTTTCCCATGGGCCCCCAACTGGCCGGCTGCCATTTTCTGGTCATGAAGAGGAATTGGGAAAAATAGCCTGACTCTCAGCGGCACTCTCTGTAGCCAGGTTGGAAGGCAATTGGAAGGTATCATGACCCAGGGCCCCTGGAGGAGCCCACAGGTGTGGCCTTTGAGCCCTTGAAAGGAACCCCAGGGCTGTTTGATTCTGAGTCCAGTTGAAACGTGTTCCATAGGACCTGGAACATGCCAGGCACAGGGGAGCATGGACACGACACTTGTGCTTCTTCAAGTACTTCAGTGGGTCCCAGGCCCACCGTCTCCTGCTCAGCCACATACATCTGTGTATGGGGTGGGGGCGCACAGAGGAGAGTATCTGAGGACTTTTCTGGTTCTTCTTCTGACCTGCTTGGGCTCCTTTTCTAGTGAGGAGGTCATTTAGGAGTCAAGAAAACACTTATTTCTGCTTTTCAAAGAGAGGAAGATGGAAACAGGACCCACCGCAAGGAAAACAGCAGCAGCCCGCAGGACCGCACTGGTGCTTTCTGCCCGTCTGCTGCTCGTGCATCCACGTGACTCAGCCAAATCGACAGGACCTCCAAATCTCAAACGCATTCCTGCCTGCTGAGTTCTGCCAGCAGAGTGCTAACCAACCTGCCCCTCCCCACAAAGCCAGTCCTTGGTGGCTGTGGGGAGCAACTGGTCTGCATGGGCTTGCTGGCTCCTCTTGGCTGAAAATCACAACAGAGAAGGCTGCTGCCAGATGCCAGGGGGCTTGGAAGGCAGGACAGAGTGACTTGGTCTGGCACCTTCCTCCCTCTAGATCCCACCAAACTCTGCTTTGTCACTCCCCCAGGGCTCGCGGTGGGTGGTAAAGGGGACTATTTAATTTACCATTTAATTTTCCATTCGAGTCACCTTAACCTTTCTGATTCTGAGGTATGGCCAGAATCCAGGTTCCACTCCATGCCAGCAGGCAGCCTATTATTCTGAGTCTTAAGTCTGAACTGAAACTGAGGACACTCCAAAAAAAAAACAAAGGCCAGTCCTCCAAAAGCAGCACGTCCTGGCTAGGCAGTGGTGCTGTAGGAAAGGCTGCCTTGCAGAGATGGAGAGGAAACAGCAGTCAGGTCTATGCACTATGGGAACCTCGGCTTTTTATTTTCTCTCTATTCCCAGGGTGGGGATGAGGGACAGAGACAGCTGAGGGGCCCTGCAGTCTCTGATTCTAATGTTGGTTCCAGAAAGATGCTCCAGGGAAGTGACTCCCAAGTTCCAGAGCCCCACAGGCGTGCTCGGGGTGAAGCTGCCATGGGGTGGACGCTGGCATCAAGCAGGCACGAGAAAAGAGACAGGTGGTCTGGCGTCAAAGCGAGCTCACAATAGAACGTGGGAGGCTCCAGGGAGGAAAGGCATGTTTGTGCCTCAAGATTTAGATTTTCTTTAAAGTTTCTTCCACAGGTTATTTGCCTTCAAGTTTGTTTAGTTATTTTAAACTTGGTTTCTTAATATGGAAATATTAAAGAGAAATCTAAGTTCATGCTTGTAAAGTTGGGTTGAGCATGAACCAAAATGCCATAAAGCATACCCAAAAAGCCATGGGGGTGGGCAGGAGCCTCCACGCCAGGGCCCTGCAATCACGCAGGCCCCTAGAAGCCAAGTGCCCACAGCACGGAGACTGTGACCAAGGGGAAGAACTTCATCTGAAGTGTGGAAACCGCAGCAGTGAGGGTCAGATAACCCCTCCCCAAGAAATTTGTTGTGCATGTAATGGGACGTGCCTGTGTTAAGGTTCTCCTCGATTCTGGAAAGTACACCCATTTGTCCTAGTAACCAGTCTCCCTCTGTGCATCGTGTGGGTCCGAGTGCACATGCGCAGGGGTGTGATCTGAGGCTGTTCTAAGAAGCCTGCCCTCCCCTTAGCAGAAACAACCCACTTCTGGCCCCAGGCACACTGCCTGAAATTGTACTCTAAAAGGGGACTCTCAGCTACTCAAAAGGGTGAGATGGAAGGATTACTAGAGCTCAGGAGTTCAAGGCCAGCCTGGGCAACATAGTGAGACCCCATCTCTAAAAAACTAAAAACAATTCTTTCGGGTCAAGAAATATACTCACTCTCTGCCTTTTTGAAAAGCAAACTCTCCAGGGAGGGAATATTTGACCATTCACACCTTACTGAGTTATATGGGCTCGGGAAAGTCACGGGGAGTTTGACTGGAGGAGGAGGGAAGGCTATTTGGGACTATAGCGTGCTGCCACGGGAGGCGGCCCAGGTGAGGTTCTGCCGAGAGTGGCCTGGGAGGCACTGGTTCTATGTCATCTTCTTTCTGCACATGCTAGTTACACACAGAGACAGGGAAAAAAGAAACCCAGGACCCACAGGGGTCTCCACTGCCTCTCCCAGGCCACAAGTATTGCCAGATGGCACCAATGTCCCAGACTGTCCAGAGAGTGAAGACATCATTCCAATAGCAGGTGCTGGATCCTTCTTTCCTCAAATGGAACATCCAAAAGGTTGACTTCAGACATCCTTGAGCTCCAGCGTGCTCCCTTCCCCAGCAAGGCCCTCAGCAAGATTGGGGCCTCCTCCATCGGAGGGGATGTGGGCAGGCCTCCCCTCTGCGCCTCATCTAGAACCACATTATCTTGTTCTGCCTTCCCTCAACCCAGAGGCTCCGGGAATACCTTGGGACCCTCAGACGAAAGAGACCTGAGAGAAAGAACCCAACTCAGAAAAACATCCAGAAGGCAGAGAACCAGGGGAGGGCTGATGACAGCTCCCTCTGAACAACGGAGGCGAGAAGATGCTACAGCGGGACGGGGACGCGCTCTATCCCCGGCTGCCTGCACCCCACCCCGTGCTGCCCCTGTGCTGCCCCATGCTCTCTCTGCCCCAGCGCCTGTTATCAGGGCTCAGCATGAATTAACAGTGGAAAGAAACATGAACGGATAACTGGAGAGTGAACAAGAAAGTGGGAGACACAGCAAAGACTGAGCTGGAGGCAGGGGGTGCTCGGATGAGAGCAGCTGTCCCCTCTCCCGGCTCTTACTCCGTCACTTCTTTCCGAGGGGAGCTTTCCTCGGTTCCTCCTAAGTACAGTCTACAGCTTCCTTCAACCAACCAAGTCCCCATCTAGTCCCCTCCTCTGGGGAGTGGCAGGTGCACCCCGCTGCACCCCGAGTGGAAGCCCTTACTCAACACACCCAGCAGGAGCCTCTCAGTCCCTCAGCCTCTCTCTGGAGACGCCCCACGGTTCTCTGCCCCCGCTGACACAAAAGAGAAGACAAAGGGCACAGGTGAGATGCTTATTGGCTGCAGAGGGGCGGGTGGCTGGGTCTCCCTCGGGGAAGGCGATGAGGAGGTCGGAGGGCCAAGAGGGACCAGAGCGTCTCCACCTTTGCTCAGCTGGGGAGCAGCTGCTGCCCTCCAAGGTGACTTTTTCTCAGAGATCCCAGCTAGATTTCCATGTGGCCAGGCAGGTGTGAGGGCGAGCCTGTCCCTCAGACTCCATGCCCCTGAGGAGGTCTGCCCCTTGGAACTCAGTACACGCACAGATCGGGAAACTTCATCTCGTACACGGGGATGGAGTGGTTCTGCGGCTGCCCGTAGGCTGCGGTGATGGTCCCCGACGGGCTTGGAGGGGGCCTGCGGGGCAGGAACACACGGAGGAGAAAGGCGTGGAGAGGAAACTCTGGGGTCCCACCCCTGTGCAACTGAACAGAGTAGCTGACTTGGTTTCTCTTTGCACAGGGACCAGAGACTTTGTCACTCCACAGGTTCTCAGGTTTTCAAATTGTTCTAGAATCTACAGCTTGAAGTCAAGCATCTCTGCAGGCTCTGCGATGAAACCGCTACTTTAGAAAGTAAAGCACAGCCTGGGACACTAGGACTCCTGGCTCATTCCAGGTTTCACTGAGCCAGGCTTTTTTCCTCTCTGGCCTCTTGTTCCTTTCTAGGGAGAGTTGGTGGCTGACTCCAGCCCTGGGGATAGATGCTAGAGGGGGTGGGTTGGAGGGGAGAACTGGAGACAGGTGTGAGCGAGGAGGACTCAGGACAAGGGGCCCCAGCACTGGGCCACAGAGGTAGGGGTCCCCTGCCCATGGCTGCCACTTACCGGATGGTGATTTCAAAGATCTGATTGAGTTTGCTCTGGAGCAGTGATGCCTAGATACAAACAGAGGGAAAAGTGAGCTGGGGTCCCCAGAACTTCTGCCGGCTGACGCACGGGCCCACCTGTCCAGAGCACATGCTGGAGGGCAGGGCAGTTGCAGCCTTAGGAGGGCAACCGGGGTGAGCACGTCCTAGCACTTATCTGTCGGACCCTGACTGTAGATTCAGATCAGGGACAGCCACCCACTGCAGGCTGGCTGGGGACAGGACAGAGGGCCAGAAATACCAGGGAGGACAGCAGGCAGTTCTCGAAAGCCCGTGTTCCTTAACGCAGGGCAGTAGGGTGTGCTGGGCCTGGAGCCGGGAGACTCGGAGTGAGCGCCAGCTCCTTCCTTAACTCACAGGAGCAGCTCTGCAAACTGGTGGGTCAGAGACGATCTCTCTGGTCCCTGCTGGCTCCAGCTGAGCGTATGAATGCAGAGAGTGAGACTGCGCATGTTCAGTAACCAGGCCCCAGCTCCTGGCTCATGGAACGGGCCAGGTCTGCCTCTCGAGGTGGGATGAGAGGTTAGGACAACACACGCCCAGGAAAACCTATATTTTGTATACGTACGTAAATATTATATGTAAAACATATATGAAATAGAAAACTACATGTATTATATTTTTACTGAGAGGAAAAGTTATTTGTAGATTTTGAATTTTACAATTATGTTTCATTGTTACTAAGATGGCCATTGTGGCTAATAAATCCTGGTGTATAATCAGTTTCGAGAACTGTTCAAGCTCCTCCCTTAAGACCAGACATGGTCGTCATTTCTGCTTGTCTGGCTGCATCCCTCTCAAATCTCTTTTCCAAGGCCTGGCTGTTCCATCCCCCTGCCAGGGTCCTGTGGTGGAAGAGGGCCCTGCCACAATGCTGACCCTCTTTCCTTGGCCACACATCCTTCCCCCATCACTCTGTAAGGTGGGGACCACCATGGCACTAGCTGCACGGAGTTATCATGAAGATGAAATAAGCTAACTCATGGAGATGCCCTGGCACACAGTAGGTGCTATTTATGCACCTACAGTAATGATTACTGTGAGTATAATCTGATTGTCTGATACAGGTGCTCCTGAGGCCACGACTTTTTCCTTAGGTGAAAATTGTGAGGTCTGGAAGAGTGTCTGACCAAGACCCAAGTCTTTCAGTACATGGGGGAGCAATGTTGGCACCAGGGCATTGGGGAAACCTGGTGGGTGCAGCAGAGCTCTCGATGTTGGAACATAAACCCTAACTTCCAGGGCCAAAAAGCCAAGATCTCCTAGAAACTGAATCCTGCCGTGGACCTAAAATCCAGTCTCTGGTTGGCCCCCAAGGACTCGCCCTTGTCACCCTTACTCACCCGGGCTCCACAGTGTGCTGCAATCTCCTCAAAGGGTGCCTTCTGGAACTTCTCCACTACCTGTCGCCGTCGCTCACGCTCCTGCTCCTCGACCGCTACACTGTCCACTGCGACAGAGAGCTGGGTTAGCACCAGCCCCTGCCCCACTGATCGGAAAGGGGAGGGACTTGAGCAGGTGTAAAGATGGGTGGACTCTCGAGAGGGGCATTGCCCGTGACTGCTGCTTGGGCTCTGCCCTCTTCACTCTCGCTGCAGGGGATGGTGGCAGGGAGGTGTGGTGCCCTCACCCGGGCTCAGCAAGGCTGGACCTTTTTCTGATTCTGCCTGAGGGTTCAGCCTTCTTCCTCGTGTGAGAGTTTGAAAACTAGTGAAGTGGACCCTTCAGCTGGGCTTTTAAAGCCCCAAGTAGCTGCTCTGCCACTAGTACTGTTTAAAATAGAAGGTCCTGGAACAGTTGATCCTTTGAGTACTCTGAGGATAATTTGAAAAAGGATATCAACAATGGACAGACCACAAGAGCCAGCACAAAACTCCTGTGGCAGAGCAGTCTGAGGCTGGTTAGTTTGAGGCTTCTACGCATGCCACTTGGTATCTAAAATGAGTTGGCACCAAAAAGAAAAAGGGGAGGGGTGTCAAAAGTGTTCACCCCACTTGGTTTAATAAGGCAAGGAGTGTGTACACTCAGAGAGGTACCATTAATGACAACAAAAATAAAAAAAGGTTTGACATATAAAAGTATAATTTTGTCAATGGAAAAATTCTCTTATTGGGAATACTTCATTGCCCAATAATCCAGATAGATGAGGTGGCAATGCATTTTAAAATCTATTGCCCTTGTTAAATCAATAATCCTATGATTCCCTCTTAATATCTCCCACTGGTCAGCTTGTTGTTCCGTATTACACTCTACCAAAAATGAATCAAAATATTTACTCCAAATTGCTTTTTACCTGTAGCCCTTAATTGATTACTTTTAAAGCCAGTTATCATTCATAGAAAAAGGGATGCCTGATGTAGGACACACAGGGCCATACCACTGATCCCCACCAGGAAAGCAGGGACCTTGGCAGCTGAGACAAGTTTGTAGGAAGCCATCGGCCCCTCCCCTCATGTCGCTGCTGGATCACACTGAGGAGGGAAGCAGATCAGGTTGCATCTGCCTGGGAGCAGGTCCCAGGACCCCACCCCACCCTCCCCGCTAAACAGAGTCCCTCAGAGCCCCCAGCTCACCGATGGCCTTCTTCAGCGTCTCGTAGGTGATCTCTTCAGCAGGCACTCGCTGAAGGAGAGGGGACAGATATTCAGCAAGGCGGGGGAAGGTGGGAGGTGGCAGCCCTGGTGTCCTCGGCTACCTGGTTGCCCCTTTGCTGCTTAGAAAAATGTCCCAATGGGCAGAAAGTCCCTCAGACACCCACATTCCCGCCAGGGACTCTGGAAGCTCCCTGAGCAGGCACAGTGGAGAGCGAGTGAGAAGTGAGTGAAGAAGCTCATTCCTCATCAAATTCAGACTCAGAAGAAAGTCCTGAGTCTCACCTAAAAGAATTCACTGTCCCCTGCCCCCTCCCCAAGTCTGTCTTATCAAGCCCCATGGGAGGAAAACAATGTGATTTTTAAAAATCCTCAGAGAACACAGAAAATACTGGAAGCAAGAGAAGTGGCAAATATCATCTCGGATGTAAATTTCAAGAACTAAGTAACATTTTTGAGGGCTTATGATATTAAATTATCTGCCAAGGTGATCTGAGTATTTAATAAAGGTAAGAATGGAAGATTAGCATTGAACCCGCCCAACCCTTGCTGAGGTTGGTCCAAGAACCTGGGTCATGGGATCTCTGTCCTCCACACAATCTATAAAAGAGGTGGAAAGTAATAAAACCCAGGGAAGGGGAAAGTAATAAAACCCAGCCTCTTTAGGTCAGAGGCTGAAAACAGTGAAGGAGTTTGGACCAAGTTCCAAGAATTCCCCACCGGACGATGAGTTACCTGAGGCAAGACCCATGCTTTACTCTTGTTCTATCGCTTAAACAGAATATTAAGCAAAAGAAGTAGACACAGAAGAAAACGATTTCATTGATATAAAGTTCAAGAAGTGACACAACTCAGGCTAGTGGCTCCCTTAGGGGAGGGCCCCTGGGCAATGACGATGTTCCATTCCCTGGTTCAGGTGTGATTGCACTTTGTGAAAATTCATTGAATGGCATTCAGTAAATTGTTGTTTGAGTCGGAAAGAACAGAAGTATGGATATGGGACAAAGTCATTCCACAAATATCAAGTGGGCACCCATTACCCGCAGGACTCGAGGTGAGTCAGTAGAAACTGCAAAATTTGTCAGCAGAGGAATTACATGCAGGAGAGAGCTGTGCTGAGCTAGAACTCGCTGAGGATTCATCCGCCCTCCACATCCACCCACCGTCCACTGTCAGCACGGACCACTGCCAGACGTTCACCTGCAGGTTGCTGGGGAACTGTGCGGTGGAGACAGAGAAAAGGACGCTCACCGGACAAGAGCAGGTAGAGAGAAGTTTAAGGAGGAAACGGAACAGAGGTAGGGCACTGAAGAACAGGCCACGCGCAGTGCAAAGGTGCGTCCGCGTGCAGAGGAAGGGCGGTTCAGCGGTGGCATTCTGCACTAGCAAAGACCTGGCGCTGACCTAGTGTGGCATGGGCGAGGCTAGGAGCAACCCACTGGAGCAGGACGGTGGAGTAGGCCAGTGGGACAGGAGGAAATAAATGGTAGGACCACCCAGACTATAAATGGCTCTGAATGCAGGCAACAGGGTTGGGACCTGACCACAGTGCAGTAAGCCTGGTATATAAAGCCATAGGGGGCCACAGCAGGATTCTTGACTGGGACATGACGGGCTGAGGGTGGAAGGAACTGGCAAAAGGGCATGGAACGGAGGCCCCACACCCTGCTTTGCTACCAAGTCACCCCTGGGCTAAGCTGACTCTTTTTTTTCTTTTTTTTTTTTGAGACAGAGTCTCACT